ATTTCAGTGTGGGGTTAGAGCTGGTTGTGTGTGGAAGCAGAGGCCAGCTGTAGGTGACTGGGGTTACAGCTTGATTCATGGATGTGGCTCTGCACTGATGGGAAGTAAAATACTCCATGTAATTACGCACCAAATCAGCTCCTCACATCACAGCAGCAAGGACGAGGAAGTTCCTCTTCACGTCTGCTGCTGTTCCGCCGCCTGCTGAGACTAATTAGAAGAGCATGTATATTTGTGAGTGATAGAAAGAGGGGACAGGAGGGCAGAAATGAATAAAGACATTTCCCCCCCTTTTGTTGTAAATGATGTCCTCTTATTCTCCGTCTCATAGGCCTTGCGACTTATAAGACCAGACCAATATCAGTTGAGGTGCAGACCTATGCCATTATTTTCAATTCATTTTGCCATATATAATTTTTTACTAATGGATTAAAGGCGAAACTTCTGTGAAACAATCATTTTGTGACCATAAAAAACAGCCTAAAACTATCTAATAGCAGAATATTTTACTGAGCCAGAAACTTTCAAAGATTAAAATAGATTTGAACTACACAACCCTTGGCTCAGTGCCAGCTCTGCTTTGTAGGAAACACTTGTAAAAAAGGTATTTTTGTTTTTTTGCTGTCAGTTATTTGTTTGGAACATTGCCATAGTGTCAAATATGACTGAATATAGGGGTAACATGGGAAGTTATTCTTACCCTTTGTTAATTCATAGCTGACAACTGACAATCATATCATTCACTAAAGCCCCTTTTTTGTAGTCATGTCCATTTCCACTAGGTCCTCCATGTGGTGCTACATAGTTGAGAGGGTGAAGGCTACTGCATGCTTCTTTAAATCTTGTGAAGCCAGACACTTTAATGCCTTTTACTAATGCCTTGGGCTGCCAATAATGTTATGTTAGCTAACACATGCCCATGTTATGCTCTCTTGTACTCTACATAAACAACCACAAAAGCCTTCACGACTCACAGTAAGATTTAACTGATCATTTATCTTTTTTGTGATCAATGTTTTATTTTTTTTTTTTAACAAATATGATGTAGCTTATATTCCTTTTTAAATGCAAACAAGCATTAATAAGTACAGTCAAAACTACAGACAATTAAAGAACAAAATCCAACCATTTTTTCTCACTAAATGAAATAGCTGAGCAACCAAGTGCTGAATGTCATTCTGAAGAGAAGAAAGTTGCAAACGGAGTTGACTCAATTTGATAGGTTTAGATGCACATCTGGTGTGTTTAGTCTCCAGTGGTGGCATAAATTGTTCGGCTTTGTCAACGTTCTTTTGACAAGAACAGAGCGGGTGTTGCTTGTTTACAGTTCCTGTGCACGTGAAGCCTAGCACTAAGTACTCACTGCTGTTTTTTCGTTGTTTCGGTTTAGGCTTTATTTTTTATTTTTTCTCTTTCTGAATACAGTGGCCACTTCACTTGTTGACGGCCCAGTCTCAGGGTCTTTCCTTTTGAAAAGCTGATTTTTAACCATTTATCCATAATAAATTCCATCCAATTGAAACTGAAAATTTTCTGTTGGCTTGCACTAAAAAATATGAACATAGCTAATTTGTCAGACCAATCAAAGAGCTTAATTTAATTATGATGTTTTATTTTTGCAAATATAATAATGCAGATTTAAAATGTTATCATTTGATTTATTGCATATGTTGTAACACATTTTTGTGGTTTAAGAAAAGCCAACGTCCTGCTACAAGGACCACTAGCTCACAGGTTGAAAACTAGATTGTTGCACTGCTCGAGAGCCACTAATCCACTGTTTAAATAAAACTATAGAGTCTATTTAATTCTTGATCATGTTGAATTATTACAGCAGACCGAACATTTAGCTCCTTAAAATCATTACCAATGACAAAATTGGTCATGCCCTTCATGAGTCACCTTGTACTGTATTGGCTTGGTGTGTGGTGCTCATATTACATTGCTGGATGGAGTGGGCTGTTTGGTAAAGGAAGAGTTATAGGCACTTTCCTGCATAGTACACCACAATTACACTGAGTGCCTGTCGCCGCTCCTGACCAGGAGAGAGACAGAGAGGCTGTGTAGGTATGTAGGTATGCGTATGTGAGAGAGAGAAAGAGAAAAAAGTGCTGTAGCTCCTGTGGCAATTATTGCTCCTTAGTAAGAGTACTGCAGATTTATGGGCTGCAAGAGGGATATAGTAACTCAACAATTATTGCAGATACTGGAATTAAACCGACAATTTGTAATGTTAATCGCCTTAGTGCTGCCCCCATCAGGAGCTGAATAATCAGAGTGGGCCCAGGCCCAGAGGAAATCAATTTACAGCCTCTATCCACAGCCAGCCCAGACTATCTCTCTCCCTCCCTCCCTCTCTCCTCCTCCCTCTTCACTCTCACTGCATCTCTTTCTGAACCCTACCCTCTGCTTTTCTTTATTTTTGTCTCTCTCTTTTGAACCTTATTCTCTTGTCTCATTTTCTCTAGCCCACTCTTGCTTCTTTCCTTTTTTTCCCACTTTAGCCTTTCTTCATCCTCCTCTTCACCAACTATCTGTCTGTCTTATTCTCTTTCTTTCTCTCCTTCCTCTCATTTTCTCTCTGTCTCTCCCTCTTCCTCTCACCTTACCTATGCTGTTTCCTGCTTGCCTGCATCCTCTCTGTGGTAAAGTCTGGAATTGATTTCATTTCCTATGGAGTGGAACCATTTAGCGCAGATTGAGAATGGCATCCTGCTGCTGCTGCTGCATTAAGGGTTACAATTTAGTGAGGTGTGTGTATCAAGAAAATGTGCCCTCTAGCAGTCTCTGTTCTTCAAATAAATTGGCCCAGACTGAAAATGGTGGCTATTCAGTGTTGCAGTGCAGGATGTGCCTATATATAGTTTCAGGAAGGCATTCATAAGCAGTCATCAGATTCACTTACCAAATCATACACATTTGTTACATTTATTTATTTCAGTATCTCAGATGCACACATGGCTCGGTGCAGACATTAGGTTGTGAGATTATTTACGAGTGTGTTTACATGTACACCAATAATATGATCATTACGGATTACGGCAGTTATCCGATTATTCCAGTGGTATTGTAAATAGCATATTCCAATGTCTTAACCTGTTTTAAACTAATGTCTTAAGCTGTTTTTCAAGAAATCCGATATGGAGACATGGGTTTTAACTCAGTGATTGTTTTTTTAGTGCATGATTACCTTTACTCTGGTTTGTTTTGTTTTTCTTAGTGAGTACATGTGCAGGAACGTAACTGGATACAGGGTAGAGCTGTCCAAGAAACAGCAAGCAGCATGTAACACAGCACCTGTGAAATGGCAACTAAACCTTTTTGGAGTGATGCTCAATCCAACTACTTGCTTGACAAAATTAACTCTAGATTATCTTCTAGATGATGCGTATTCATATGTTCTGGTAAAGTGATTCCTTGTTTAAAAAAAGCAGCCAGAAGTTTGAATTTAAGGTAAAAAAATACAAAACCGTTCATTGCCTGATTCATTGCTTGTTCATTGCTGGAGTTTTCTCATTACCTGATTACCCAAGTGCATGTGAACACATTGAGTTAATGACAAAATCAAATTTTCTGCAGTTATCAGATTATTAAGTGCATGCAAGTCACTTAATTTTAATCAATGAAATTACTCAATGACTAAACAAGTCCAGTAACACTTTATCGGAAGGTGTCTACATAACACATTCATAATATCTTAGGTAAACACTCCATAACATGCTCCTGAATGTTTAAATCTACATTCATAAAGCAATATGTACAGACTACTATGTCATTTTACTTTTATATGTTTTTCAAAATAAAAGCCCCCATTTTGTATTTAAAACTATTATTTTTGGTGAAACTCCTCATTTCTGGACAGCCAAAATAAAAATGACCTGGCTTTGACCTTTTGGACAGAAAGTGCTTTGATGTGTTAACCCCTTTTGCCTGGTCTTTTAACTTTTAAATGATTTATTTTCTCGTAAGCGTTTGTATTTTACACTTGGTTATTCTTTCCCTATTTTACTGTACTTCTTCTTTTAAATTGTATCGTGCCAGAGGGTTAATTCAGCAGTCTATACATTGTTGAGGAAAACATTATTTAAGTTTAATCAACTATCTTGGGTTTAAATGCTAGCACTGTTATCTGAAGGATTAATTAAGACTTTAGGGGTTTTATTTTATTTTTAGTGATGTTCTTCTTCACTTGTGGTACTGGAATTGACACAAATAAAATTGTGCATCAGTTATGCTATGTTTAATTGACACTATTTGAGCTTAAATGGTATATACACTGCAAAGCACTTGCTGTCCGAAAAGTCAAAGCCGGGTCATTTTTATTTTGACTTTCCAGAAATGAGGAGTTTCACTGAAAATAATAAAGTTTTTCAAAATACAAAATGGGGTCTTTTATTTTGAAAGAATATCTAAGTAAAGTGACATCGTAGTCCACATTAATGATATGTAAAACTTGTATGCTTCATGAATGTTGATTTAAACATTCATGAGCATGTTATGTAGTGTTTATGTAAGATGTTATGAATGTGTTATGTAGACACCCTTCACATAAAGTGTAACCAGAAATCCAATATGTGTTTGTAGTGCAGTAAATAATCCAATATGTGTATGTAGTACACACTAGTTACCACTAGTTACCCACATTTTGTTGCTACAGATTAGTGTGCAGCACCGTGCTGTGGCGAGCTTATAATTACCTGATATGATTGTGGTCACTTTTGTGTTTGTGCTGTTTATAGTAGGCGGGATAGCCAGTTTGCTAACTATGACTCAGTGTGAAACACTCCTATGTGTGTATAATGACCTAATATAATTATGGTTACTTTTGTTTCATCACTGTTTATGGTTTGTGAGTTAGCTAGCTGGCTAACTGCAACAACATTGAGGATTTTTTTCACTGCCAAATTTTTCTTAATATGCTAGCACATTTATGAATACATTTCACAGTAATAGCAAATGTTTCAGTTAATCCATAAAACATTGTCTGTTTCCCTTTCCAGAGTCTTCTCCTGTTCTCAGATTTCCAGGAGTCGACCTTTGACCTGAGCAAACTGCCCAGTCAACGGTTTGAGGCCATGGACCACTTCGAGAAATGCTTTCTGATTTTGAAGCTGAGGACGGCGCTGGTGGAGGGCAAGCAGACAGATCCCAGCCGCAAGAGAGACTGGAAGGCTGTGCGCGTGGATCTGGTGGCCCCTCCAGTTGACCGTTATGCCTTCTGCCTGCTGGGCTGGTCAGGCTCCACGGTACGGGATAATGGCTTGGGGAGGGTTGTTAGATGAGCAAAAACCTCAAAATTTAGAACCGTCAGATTAAGGGCAGTAGTGAAAGACGGGTACAGGTTGATTTGGGTCACTTCTAAAAGCGTGGCACTCATGCCCTGTGTCCCCGTGCTGCCTGCTGGGCGGCTCTACCCATCAGCTGTAATTACAACCTCATTCTTTGACCTTTCCCTAGAGAGCTATCCCACAATGCCTTGCAGTGCCTGTGGAGCTTTCACTGAGTTACAGAGTGAGTGAGAGTGAGAGAGAGAAGATTGACAAGGTTTGAAAAGAAAAAGAATTTTATATGCCTTGAAAGTTGTTTCATAGTGTCTATAAGCTGCATATCTTGAGTGCTTCTTGTGCAGGACTGTAAACGATTAAGAAGTGTTTTACTTAATTTATCCTTCATTCTGTTTTTTTTTTTCCATCTGAAGAAACTGTTAATTTGTTCCACCATTCTTTCCTTCATGCATTCCTTTGTTCGTTTGCGAGCTCTGCAGTGTCCCATGGCCTCCACTTCAAACTTTTTGTTGATAAACAAAGCTAAAATGGCCATGACCTTCAGGAGATTAACATAATGCAAAAAAACATTAGAGTTTAGAGGAGATTAATAGAGTGCAATTTAAATAAGTCTGCTGGCCACGATAAGGCTTTCTAAAGAGATTAATGTCAAACGGTGCACTTAATGCAACATATCAGCAAAGCTGCATTTAGATAGCCAGTCCAGATTAGGACCACCCCTAACTGAGGCACTGCAACTTAAATAAGTGTTTACTCTTTGTTTAGTTTTGATAAACAAACAGAAAAAAGAATTGACTCTGTGAAAGAAGGTGATTGACAGGTTGTGGATGCAGTTTGTTGATGGACACTCTGAAGTCATTTAACTTGCATGAAAGCAATCTAACAATTAGCTATGCTGCCGGTTTGTGATCAACTGGTAATTGCTTATTTCATTTGTGAGTTAGGGGCTTCCAGCAGCTGATAAAAACTTTGTTGAAATGACCGTGGTTCAAACCAGCGTGGTTCTGTCTCTGCAGCAGTTTGAGAGAGACCTGAGGAGATATGCCAGGCTGGAGAGAGGGATGCTGCTGGACAACCATGCCCTTTACGACAAAGCTACAGTGAGTATACAAACACACTCACTCACTAACTTATTCTCGCGCCCACACACACACACACACACTCTCTCACTCTCAGGCCTGTATTACTGTGAGGTTCACCTTCTGTAGTGTGTGCACCTGTGTAGCACACACTACAGAAGGAAGTACTTTGGATCTTATACCAGAGGCTATTCAGCCTTAGTGTATTTTTGTATGAATTTGGCTTTTATTCGTGTAGCAGCAGTGTTGGGGATAATGTGGTGCTAAAGTAACTTGTTACAGTTATATAGTTTAAAATAATTTTCCTGTAACAAAATAATATAATATATTACAGTGTAAATCTCATAATCACATTACAACTACTGTCTTAACAAGAATTCTTTTGCTTGTGCTGCACATATAACTCATAATATTAATTATGCATAATGCATTTAAATCATACATTTCCTCTATAAAGATTATCCGTGCCTGTCCCTGTATGTATTTTGTGTGCATGTGTCGTGTGCATGTGCTACTTGTGTCAGCTAACTGGGCGACTTTAGTTGTGTATATGAGCAATGTCGAGGGTGGGGGAAGCGGTCAAGCACCTACACTGCAAAAAAATGGGGTCTTGTCAAGTACAATTATCTCAAATATCTCATGTCTTATGAAAGGCATGGCTATTACTTCCTAAATAAATTACTAAAAAGGACTACTGTTTTTTTCTGTTGTACTTTCTAGTTGGTACAGAATTATATGATTTTTTTGGTGAACAACTTTTTTTATTTTTAATACTAAACAGAAAACAAGATGTACAATGACAACACAGATACAAATAAATGCTCTCCCCCCTGAACTCCTATCCTCCCACCTGTCTATTCACCCTCATTTGGAAAACCGACACAATACAATTAACACAGAAACAAACTATAAACACCATAAATCAAAGATAGCTTAGTATATATATGTCCATATATATAGATACACACACATCTATGCCTATATACCCTTACCAACACATTTATATAAAAAAAAAAATACTGGAGTTAACAGAGTGATGACATAAAGAGATTAATCTGCTGTACTGTCCCAGCATGCATTACAGTGTGGGTACTTTATAAGATTTGTATGGGTTTTATAGAGTAACATACAGGTAATGAGCAATGAGAAAGGAAAGAAATAAGTCATGTAATCCTATTACAGTACATACAGTATCCTATAGCAGAACATTTTCATTTAAGTTCGAGGGCTATTTATTTATTTATTTATTTATTTATAGCAGTATATGTGCTCTTTGGGTATTGAATCCATAGCCTTGGCCTTGCTTGACCCATGCTCTTCCAGCCGAGGTAAAGCATTCATCTGTATGCTTCTGTGTATTCTCCACATTTGAAACATATCTAAACACGACTCAGAAGTGGAATAAAAACATCACTTTATTTGCTCTGAGTGGAATCGATTTTTTAACGTTCTTGCTCTTGCATTCCAACCCTGACATAACGTTTCTAAACCAGTTAAAACAAAGTGAAAAAAGGGTCAGTTTTATTCTTTCCACACACAGGTCTGGTTATCTGTCTAATGCATACTCTAACATACTGAGATTTTGTGTTGAGAAAACATTTATACAAAGCTTAATTTACCCTGTTTTTTCATCCATAAACTGAAGGCATGCAATGTTATAGTCCATGGTGCACAGTGTGAGTAAAATGATTGAATGAAATCAGGCGAGACGTGATGTTGATTCAGAAAGTGTACAGGTGAAACAAATAATAAGCTAGTGGCCTACATAGATTGAAAAATAATGTTATTAACTGGTAACAGAGATTTCAGGTTTCTGTTTTGCAGCAGTTAAGGATGATTACGTTTTTGTTCCTAGCTGAATAGCGTTGTTAATTCAGCAATGTTACATCACAAAGATTACAAATCCCTCTTCAGCTCAGCGAGGGTGCTAGCTTGAGTTTCCTCTGCATCTGCCTCTCAGGTTTGTGTTTATGGATGTAAAGAGTGATTTGCTGCGGAGCCTCTCGTTCCTGAGCAGAAGGATTAGGGGTGCTTATAGACAGATGTCTCATGCGGGAATACATAGATGCATTCTAGTGCTTTCATGCGGAAGCTTGGTGTCAATGCGCAGGCCTTGTTTCAATCATTGCTTTGCCTCTCTTGAGAGCGAATGCATTGATGTATCAGGTGGTGTTTTCTGTTTGAGTAGTAGCAGCACGGAACATATCAGGCTTCCACTGGGAATGTAAAATAGCTAATACTTTTCTTTTGTTATCTGGTTGCTTGCTTAGGTGTGGCTAATTGAAATGGGAAACATGAGATGGTTAATGCTTTTTTGTTTTTGTTTATTTATTTATTTAAATCAAATAAATTGCTTCTCAGTATACTCTGTTGGAACTTGACTCATTATAGTACTGTGGATAAATGTACTAAGTGAACCTGTAGACTCACATACACACACGCACACACACACACACACACACACACATTCGCACAAAAGACACACGGGAGGCACACACTCACTAATGGAAGACACTCTGCATATTACACATGTGATTGGGTGGAAAATGATTCTAATGCCTTCTTAATTGGGTAATTAACTTAATCAACAGCCTCTCACAATTCTGCTCAAATGCAAATAGTCCTTCTCTTCCATAACATATGATCTGCCTAGTTACATAAAAGTTCTCAAGAAGTCTTAATCAAATTTCCTTTAAGGTGCGTTAAAGTATTTACCCTGATAACCCCCAAAATTAACATGTAATGACTGCCACACTGTTTCTGTGTACCACAGTAATCCATCACTGTCGTCACACAATGGTTGTCTATGACAGCTCGACCTCAGCAACGCTGACAACCAATCAGGACTGACACCTTGGGAGGTTTCCTCCAATGAGCCAGCAATAATATAATGTGTCCTGTCATAGCTGTCACATACGGTGGCAGTCTTATCAACGAACACCTCAAATCAGTCAATTTATGACCCAAACCCAGGAAGAGTGATGAAGGCAGTGCAGTGCATTGGTTATTCCCTTTCTCTCTTTCACTTGTCCTCTGTCTCCTTTTTGCTTACTCCTGTTTTTCTCCTTCTTCTTGTGTACATTTGTATGCGTCTGGCTGCAAAAAAACACATTATTACAATAACATTTGTAAGATTTATCTCCAAATGGCTTCAGGAAGACAAAATTGTGTAAGACCATGGCTTTTGAATGATTTCTTTGAGAAATTCAAAATGCAGAAGACAAATTTGATGAACAGTAATCTAAGAAATTCATTCCAAATCCCACTTCTAACTTATCTTCCTGAGTTGAGTCAACTATATAACTTTTGGGTAATAGCATCATATAATTAGATTCGATTAGATTAGATAGATTACATTATCACGATCCAAAGAAAAACTAGTATCTTCAAAATGGTAACTTTACAGGAGAGACCAAAATTGCGCTTTACTTACAATGCAGGTTAATGTAAAGATTTTTTGGAGCATTTCTGTTGGTCCATTCACGATGAAATTTTCACACAATAGCAAAAGTTTCTAATGTTCAACATGGCTGGAGCAGAAACTAGTCTGCAGAGGAGACAATGTTTATGCTTTAAACTTTAATAGATGGCAGCAGGATGGGTGTCCAGCTTATGTGTTTTAGAACATGACGTCTTCCTCTTGCCCTTCTTTAATAAGTACATGTGAAGTATGTTTTCCTGAGACTGCCATCATTTTAAAGTCATTAAAAACACAAGCGCGCCAGCTGAAAACTCAGGCAAACACACTGCTGCTCGTCTCACTCTGACTGGACTCATGTGATGCTCGTTGTCATGGTAATGTCTACACTAAGTGGTACTTTATGTATGCCACATTATTTTTGATTGGATTACTTGTGGTGTGCATGTAAGATTATTCAGGAGAGTGTACAAATAAACACCTTAGTCTTAGTCTATAATCAGAATGTATTAAATCGGCTTGGCAAAAATCTTTGTGTGTAAACACAGCCAATGTAAAGGACAGTTGCTGTGCTGAAATGTAAAGTAAAAAAGTAAAAATCAAAACAAATTAACATTTTTTTCTTTGGACAGTGATGATATTTACCTTTTTTCACTTGTAGAACATACCTCATCATGCTAGGCATAGTATACATTAAACCATCTGCCTTTTTGCAAAAATCTGAAGGCTATCTTTCTACTAAGTTCAAAACCTGGCTTGTCTTTAATATATCAGTAGCTGCACTTAACACCTGGAGTGTGATTTATATATCCTGCATTAACTCCTTTTCACAGTAGCTATAGAATGCAGTTTCACCTGTTTCGGAGGTCCTGCAGTGTATTATGTTTTTTTTATTAATGTTGATGGAATATTTTGATGGAAATCTGTGTGATTTACAAGGTGAAAGTGAGCTAAACGCCAATAGGAGGCTTGCAGAAAAAGGGTTAAATGACCTAGTGATATATTTTTTGGCTTTGCAGTTGGTGTAGCATAGTGGGTAACATCCCTTCGCAAGGAATACTACGGAAGAGCATGCTGCCTGGGCAGTCACATCACACCACACTAATAGTTCACTAATAGGTGCAACACTCCTAACACTCATCCGCCTACCTCTGTAGCATGATGAAAACTGTGTGGCTCTGAGTAAGAACATCAGCCAAATACCATAAATGTAATATGTAAAAGAAAAGATGTTAATACAGCTCAGAGAGTTTTGACTAGTTCTGGGTTAGACGTCTTAGTTCCACAGATATTCTTATGACAGCTCAACTAAATATTTACTTTAGTGTTGACAACTGAATGTCACTTAGTACAGATAATTCCTTACAGAACTAGACAAGTGGCTATCGATTGGTACTTACATGTACTTGATACTCTTTGTATCCCCTTAAATGGCAACCCACAAGTTTTATTACACACCTCTATAACATAAGAATAGCTCTGCCAGTTTGCATCAAAGTCCCTGTAGTTACTGAATAATGAGCCTTACTGTGTAATAAGTCTGGGATTTTAAGAGGTTTGGCTCATTTTTTACAGTGTAACATTTGATTGATAAAATGAACTG